CCAGCCCATGGTGCCCACTGAAGCTCCATCCAGCCCACAATGGTCCTCAAGGAGCTTTTTATTTCTATTAATGCCCTGAAACTTGGAAACAAACCCCCCAGGGCTGATGGGGAGTTTTACCCCTATGGAGTCAGAGAGTCATGGAATGGTTTGGGTTGGAAGGGATTTAACAGCTCATCCAGTGCCACCCTCTGCCACGGGCAGGGACATCTTCCTCTAGACCAGGTTGCTCCAACTTGGATGGGGCAGCCAGAGTTTCTCTGGAAAACTTGCTCCAGGACCTCCCCACCCTCCCAGGGAAGAATTTCTCCCCAATATCTACTCCTCCCATCTCAGTGGGAGAAGTTTCCTGCCCCAAAACACACCCATTCCAATACCTGTGTGCTTTTTAGGGAGCCACAACCCCTACTCCAGTGGTACCCACCGGCTCCATCCCTTTCCCAGGAATGGTTCTACCTTGGAAAGTGGATTCAAGCTTTGGAGCAGAGCCTGCAAACAACATCCTCTGCATCTGGATGGTCCCTCAAGGACACAGAGCTGCCAGGTTGTCACCAGGAGCCAATTCCAGCAGTGGAGAGCAGAGATGCTGCAGGACATGGCAGGACCATGGGGAAAACTGTGGGAATTCCAGGAGCACCTGGAAGAGAGAAGAGCCAAGACATGCAGGTGATTGTCCCAGGATTTCACAGGTTCCAGCACCCAACTGCCAGGGCAGGAAAGCTTCAGAAACACAATTTAATGCCACACTGATGAAATCTCAGCACAAGCAGCTGTTTGGGATGACGTGTTTCAGGGGATTCCACGATGAATAAGCACCAACAGCCAAAAAAACACCAGGAAAGTTCCTTTCAAGTCTTCACTCTCCTATTTTATGGAGCCATCAGCTCCCAACCCAAACCAGAGACAACACTTCTGTCAGGGAGGCTGTTCTGGTGATAAATCTGACCCTGGATCTTCCAAAAAAATTATCCAGGAGTAAAAGTATGATTCAATATTCCACATGTTCTGAGAGCGGTAAATAGTGTAAAAATTAGTTTTATTTGTCAAATAATAAATCCAGAAATCCTATTCCACACAATATTTTGCCATTCTTTTTATGTAGCAACTAGTTAACTGTCAGCTGAGCTGGGATTTAATCTTTCTGCAGCTTTAATTTCTATATGTATATAATTACTCCATAATTACACATACTAAAATATTGCCTAATTATAATCACAGGAAATAAGACTCCCCTGCAAATAACCAAACTCTTCCCATTAAAGATTTGTTACTACATGACCTTCACAGAGGATTTGGTGTCTGGCTTGTTCATGGGGAAAACTCACTTAATTTTATATATTACAGCACAAATGACACCACACGACCAGAGATCCAGGTGAGAAATATCCCTAAACATCATTTTCCTCGAAGAAAATGTAGATTATGTGTAGATGGTGTTCACTTACCTCGGTCTTGGAGAGGAGCACGAAGGCAAAAATTAAATTTGTATTTATTAGAGGGGAGAGGAGCCAAGCCAAGACTGAAACAAAGGGCCAGCCCCCATTTCCAGGAACCTCCCAGTTTTTTAGAAGAGCGTGGCTGGAGAAGATCCCATTTCTGGACAGCCCTCAAAACCCAACTGAGCTCAACTCCTGCAGTTTGGGTTTTTTTCTAAAGGGGTTTCTTTCTTATTTTCTGTTTTCCCTTTCTTTTTCAAGGAGGATTTTGAAGTATTGATTTGCTTGAGGGCAACCAAGCCAGGAGCAGGGTTTCCCCTAATTTTGATGACAACAGAGTCAAAATGCAGTTTAACAGCAAGACCAGATATGGTTCTTATTTTTCTCTGGGTGTGGTATCAGCAAAAAAAACGTTTTAAAATTGAAATTGTTCTTTAAAATTGAAATGAAGCCAGTGGAATTACATTTTCTCATGTGAAATAACACATCTTCTAACTGCTTTAATAGACCTTAGTATGCAATTACTGCACAGTATCTCTAAATAAGCAGATGATACAGCCCTGTCTTTCTTGTTTTAATAATAAAATCATCACTCCACCTTTATAATCCTTCATTTGCCCGATGAGATCAGGCACCTGAGATCAAGACACAATACCTTTATTACATCTAACTCCCCAAGATAATATTAATATTATCTGTAGATATTATATTTATTTTTATTTCTATTATATATATATATAAATCTCCATATATAGGTATATAAAAACCTGCGTATGCATATATAAAAATCTGTATATATATAAAAATATAATATACATATGATATATATAATATATATACTATATCATATATAGTGTATATATATAATATATATACACTGTATACAATATATATTATATATATTACATATATTATATATATTATATTTATTATATTTATTATATTTATTATATTTATTATATTTATTATATTTATTATATTTATTTTATATATTATATTAGTGAGTCACTGGCTCAGGTTGCCCAGAGAAGTTGTGAGGTCTCTTCTAACCCAAACCACTCCATGATTCTGTGATTCTAATTCTGATGAGTGAATTTTTTTTTCCTGATAAGAGAAGAAATCCCTCTGAAATCTCCTCCTTCATCTCAAAGAATCCTCTGTTTGACCAGCCTTGAGCATGAATGAAGCATCTTGATAATTACTGTTTATAGTAATTATATTAGAATAAGCTAATGTGTGATGTATTATGATATATTATATTAAAATATGATGCTCTTTGAGCAGCTCTGTCTTTTCTGCCTGGGGCAAGCATGGAGTGGGAAGCAATACTCCAATGGAATGGGAATAATTCTGGATCTATGGGTCTGGCTTTGATGTTCCTTTGTGTTTATATCATAGAATCACAAAATTATGGAATGGTTTGGGTTGGAAGGGTCCTTAAACTTCATCCAATGCCACTCCTGCCATGGGCAGGGACACCTTCCACTATTCCAGGTTTCTCCAAGCCCCATCCAACCTGGCCTTGGACACTTCCAGGGATGGGGCAGCCACAGCAAGGATTATAGGATAGATATAAAAGATAAAATTAGGATATATTCCAATTTCTCAGCGAATTAAAACCCACCCCATGTCTCAGTAACACATCACCCAACTCTCAGCCTGAGGGACCAGTGGCCAGGAAAGCTCCCCTGCTTTGGAAACCCTTGGAACAACGGGACATTCCTGGCACTCAGAGACCTCTGACGGTATTTGAGGTGAATATTCCCCCTTTTGGACAAAGAACTCCTGCTAAAATCCCAGCACAGGCTGAAGTGCAGCACAGGAACACCCTGGAAAAGAAACTGTTGCCCAGATTCTGCCTCAGTGCCCCACCTGATGGGAAACCTCGTGTGCTTCTGTGAACGCCGTGACAGAACATCCGGCAAAGAAACCTGGAAAGCCGAAGTGATGCCTTTTCAAGAACACCCCTGTGAGCACATCCTGAAGTTCTCTTTCACTTTTGGGTCAGAGAAGACTCTTGTCTCCTACACAGGCTGAAAACCACAGCCCACAGAGGAATGACTGGAGCAGAAGTGGAAAACACAGCGAGAGATTGGAAAATGATGCAGCGCCGGTCTGGGAGCACAGCGAGTCTCTGGACACACCACAGCCTTCTTATAGGAAACAAGCTGCCAATTAAAATAAAAACAATCTGAAAATGCAATATAAAACTCTTGATTCATCCTGCTCCCTTCACATTTGACAGCAAAAATCCCAGTGACTTCACAGCACATGAAGGGCTTTGTTCAGCCTTTCGGCCCAGCTAAGGGTGGCCACGTGCAGTGAGAGCTGATGGTGAAATATTTGGGGTTTATCCTGAGTAGAGCAGCAAAATCGACTTTTCAAGCAGGTTCTCACAAGTATTCATTAATGAGATCTCACCATTATAGAATCAGAGAATCCTGGAATCATTCAGGCTGGAAAAGAGCTCTAAGACCACGGAGACCAATGTTCCCCAGCACTGCCAATCCCACCACTGACCCCTGTCCCCAAGGGCCACGTCCACACAGCTTTTAAACCCCTCCAGGGATGGGGACTTGACCCTCTGCCAGGGCTTCACAACCCTTTCCATGAAGACATTTTTCCTAATATCCAACCTAAGCCTCCCCTGGCACAACCTGAGGCCATTTTCTCTTGTCCCAGTTAAGGAATTAAAAAAGAACAAGGGTAGCCTGTTCCAATGCTTGGTCACCCTTTCCATGAAGGAATTTTCCCTAATATCCAACCTAAACCTCCTCTGATCCCGCTTGATTATGTTTCCTCTTGTCCTGTTGCTTGTTCCTTTGGAAGAAACTAAAATAAAGAATAGAAATGGAACAGCTTGGAGGGAGACTATTTACAGGAGCATGGAGTGACAAGTCAAGGAGGAATGGCAAGAGGAGGGTTAGATGGGATGTTGGGAAGAAATTCCTGGCTGGGAGGGTGGGGAGGCCCTGGTACAGGTTGCCCAGAGAAGCTGTGGCTGCCTTTGGATCCCTGGAAGTGTCCAAGACCAGGCTGGAGCAACCTGGGCTGGTGGAAGATGTCCCTGCCCATGGCAGGGGGTGGCACTGGATGAGCTTTAAGGTCCCTCCCAACCCAAACCATTCTGGGATCCTACGATTCTATCTCACAAAACATTTATTTTAATGTAAATGTTGGAATAAAGCTCCTCTGAACAGTCCCATTCCCAGCACAGCAAGGCTGGAATGACACCATCTCTAAGGTCCCTTCCAACCCAAACCAGTCTGCGATTCCACGATCCTGTGATTCCATGAAAAGCTCATCCACATCCTACACATCAACCTTATTTTTCGGTCAGTCCTGTGCCCCAAGGGCACAGTCCCGAAGGAAGGAGCTCCAGCACCCCCGGCCAGGCTCAGCGCGGGATCCCCGCCTCCCCCCCGCTGGGCGGGATTCCCGGCCCCGCCGCTCTCGGGATGAGTCGCGGCTGCCCCCGGGCCCGGGGGAGGGAGGAGCGCAGGGGGAACTCCCGCTCCGGAGCCCCTATAAGAGCCGGGCCCGGCCCGCTCCGACAGCAGCGCGATGGAGCGGAGCGGCAGCACCGGGAGCGGCTCCGGCATCACCGGGATCACCGGGATCATCGGGATCATTGGGAATACCGGGAGCGGGCGGGCAGCGCCGCCTGGCGGCCCGCGGGGGGCACTGCTGCCCGCGCTCTGCCTGCTCCTGGCGCTGCTCCCGCTGCCCCCGGCCCGGGCACTGCCCACCCCACCCGGGGCACTGCACACCCCACCCCCGGCGCTGAACCGCTCCAGGGAGCTGCTGGAGGCCGCCGACGCCTCCCTCCAAAGGCTGAAGGTCTGACAGGGGCCCGGCGGGGAGCGGGATGGGCGGGATGGGGGCGGGAGATGGGTGGGGTGATGGGGTGGTACCCAGGGAGGTGGTGATGGGGTAGGGGTGGTGCCCAGGAGGGTAGTTTGGGGCAGTGGTGGTACCCAGGACAGTCATGGGGCAGTGATGGGGCAGTGGTGGT